TTTTTTTTTTTTTTTTTTTTTTTTGCATTTCGAAAATATACTGTCGTCGCATTTAGATAAAAAGTGTCGATCGTCCGTGATAAGTAAAAGCGAACCTTTCTTTAATTCTTTCCACCACGAATTTCGTTAAATCGCCGATTAAACGAAAATTGAAATTCGTAATGGTGAAAAACCGATCGTTCTTCGCAGAACTGACGTACCTGAGACTCGTAAAGCTGGATATCAGCGGCAATCGAATATCCGTGCTTCCGAACGAGATGAGGAAAATGAAGAGTCTGGTCGATTTTCGGTTGTCCGATAATCCTTTGACCTCGCCACCTGCCTCGGTGAGCATAAAGAAACGCGATCGAGATCGATCGTCGAATTATCGATCAACTTTCCCCCCTCCCCTCTGTTTTCGCAGTTATGCATTCGCGGGCGAACGCACATCTTTAAATATTTGGAGAGACAGGCGGCGAAACACGAGAGAGCCAGAGGTGGCCGCGCTAGGAGAACACCTTTGGATGTTAGAGGTCACGCGACTTTGGACACGAGGACCCANGCGACACAACGTAGACAGTGGATACAGCACGAGCGACGGCGTCGACAAACGTTGGTCTCAAGAGATTCACAGCGCGGTTAGTTTCCTCGTCCTTCTTCTCGCTCTCTTCCTATCTCTTCGTTTCTTCTTCTTCACCTGGCTCTACAACAAGCTTTTCGGCTACGAAACTTTGTAAATCCCGGTACAGTACAGATAACAGGCCACGTATATACCACGTGGGAAAAACCAGCGTAGTAGAAACTTTTGCCTGGCAACTGCTATTCTCCTGTACTTCTAACTGATCCAAACATGTAGAAAGAACGGCAAAATAAACTTTCAAACGCACGCAACCACGTACACGATTCTACGATTTCTCGTAGTACCTCCTGCTGGACACCTTTTTGCGCGCAGGTGCACGACGGTGAGATTCGAGGGTTGTGGCGTCAAGAATGCTCGCCCCTTTCGATCACGTTGCCTCACGAGACGGGCGTGAATGGATCCTGCAGCGGAACCTCGACTCCTAGTACCATCTCGCCTGGCGAGCACACGTCTCTCGAGGATGAGCTCGGCAAGGTAGGTATCGAACCGCTTCCGAAGTATCATTCAAGCATCGAATTCGTCTTCAGCTTTTCGAACGTTTTAGCCTTACTTTACTCCAACCGCTGTGCACGAGCGTACATGATACAACGTCTATATTTAGCGAGTGTGAATAGAACTCGCGCGCCCCCCCCTTGAAAATGATATCTGTGTTGTCGAGTCGCGCGCTTGGCCGTCGTTCAAGCCTCGTTGAATGACCTTAACCCATTGAAAGAACTCGTCTGCAACGTCTCTCGCGATTAACGCGCACGGCACGCCAACCGGCGCGCTAGGAATGCGCTCACCTTTCCTCCGCTGATCCCTCTTTCTTTCTCTCTCTATGTCTCCAAGATGTACCATGTTTACAGGCAATGATACTGCACGATCAATTGGAAAAGAGGAAATTAGAAAGGAGCACCTCGGAGAATGGTGCCGATGTCAGAAGACCGATGACCTCTGGTTTCTATCACGCGTCGATTACGCCACCCGGGTAAGCGAGCTGTTAATAAACCAATCATCGTTCCTGTCACACTGCATTACATGGCTGCCTAGTGATTTTTACTCGTTAATAGAGTAGAGCTTAAGCATCGGTGCTATTCTTTTACAGTCCCCTCGAATCCGCTCATCTGAATCAAACGTTGCCGGTATCGACCAACACGCAATCCGTGCAACCGTTGCAAACTTCGACCTCTAACGCTACCTCGTTGATGAACGGAGACGAGAAAAGGCCGCTCAATCATATTCAAACTTACAGGTATCCTTCTATCTCTGTCTCGAAATATGGATAACGATCGATATTCTACATCGTCGATATTTTTCCCGTTTTAGAGAGTATAAAGAGGCTTTGAGACAACAAAGGGCAAACGAAGGACCGAGCGTGTACAGGCCGCGAGAACAAGTTACACCGCCAGGCAACGAATCGCAGAACAACTCGGAGACGACGGATTCGGCTAGTAACAAAGACGCGGTTGCTTTGACCGGTAAACAGATCTTCAACGAGGAGAACGCGACCAAGAGACCGGTGCAGAAGGTAACACCGTCACGCATCAACTATCAGAACACGCCGATTATCAACGGTAGCAATAACGAATACAACAATAAGAACGGGAAATACCTCGAGCAGCCGTATAAGAAGCCTAATTCGCCGATCAAAACATCCTCGAGCATTTTATCTTCCAACACGAGTCCAGGACACGCACCTAGATTAGTCAAAACCGCTGTTGGTTACGTGGAAGGTAAAAGAACATTGTGCGGAGAAAATGAAAGAGATGGAATGGTATGATAGATTGGTATCAAACTATACTAACGCAATATCGATGATTCGTGTTAGGTAACAAGAGTCCGAACAGGAACGGTGGAAGTCCAAAGTCTCCTCGATCGGTTACATGGAACAGCAACGTGCCGGAAAAATATTCGTTCACTATGAGAAGAGAGTTCGAGCGTGCCAAGGAGGAAGCTGACTTGATCGAGCAACTTCGAAACGTGGGTATAGGAAAGAACGACGAAAGGGATCGACTTTCACGCGTTAATTAATTGTCACAACAAGGAAACGGATAACTAAAATTTGAGTTTGTTTTTAGCATATTGAGACACGGTTGAAGATGGCTTTGCCGGAAGATCTCGCCCCGGCGCTAACGGATGGTGTTGTACTTTGTCACTTGGCAAACCACGTAAGACCCCGATCGGTTGCCAGTATCCACGTTCCTTCGCCAGCTGTGGTAAGCGTTTCTCGGCTAATCTAATCGAATCGATGATCCATCCTCACGAGTATCAACCGTGTACAATTATTATATTTCATTTCACAGCCCAAGTTGACAATGGCAAGATGCAGGCGTAACGTCGACAATTTTCTCGAAGCGTGTCGAAAGATAGGCGTTGATGAGGTAAGCCATCGTCCCGATCAATCTTTATTGGTCAATTTTTCGAAAATTTTCGTGCTTTGTCTCTCGCTAATGGTCTCCCGCGGCATGTATTAAACCAATTGCTTCTACGTGGAACAAAATCATTTTTCTTTTCTCATTATGACCGTATTCTCGATACTACGACCTGCGAACACGTTCGGGTCTCTGTTGTCGTGGAAGCACGGTCAAAATCCAAGATCGAACGCAAAATCGTAACTAACGCTTCGACAGCAGCCGATACCGTTTGTCCATGATATTTCCAACAACTACTAGTCAGTCCCCGATTTTTATTCAGTCGATTCGTCTTTTTTTCAAAATCTCTATCGTTCCAAAAAACAAAGAGAGAGAAAAAAAAATAAATATCGGAAAGAAGAAAAATGCAAGAATTCGAAGGAGGAAGTGGAGAGGAGCCAAGAAAGAAGCTTTAGTTGCATGCGCCTCGTATTCGCTTTTGTGTCGCTCGTCGCTTCATCGGAGAACGCTTTAAACGCGTCTCGTTCTAGTGTCTTCACTTCTCGGCTTTCCTACCACGTATCAACGTTTCGATTGGCATATATATTTCAATTTTTTGACCAAGCACATCGAAGAATTTTTTAAAACTGTGTATTATTTCCATCTTCTCGAGATAGGAACCAGAGTTGGGTATTTTTTTCTTTCTTTTTTTTTTTTTTTAATTTTTTTTGTTTCAAAATTATCGTTATCAAACAACGAAACGATACCCAAATCTGGTAGACACCATTTCTCGATGAAGCACCTAAATCGAATAATTTGAAGCAAAATTATCGTAAAATATTCGAATCGTTGATTTCGAGGAAGGTGACCCCGCTTCGAAGAAGTAAAAATGATAAGAGAGCAGAGATCCATTGTATAAAAAAAAAAAAAAAAAAAAAAAAGAAACGTCCAGCGAACGTAGTAGAGACTGGGACTGAGTAGTATCGTTGTTGGTGTTGCAGGAGGTGTTAATGGACGCGGACGCAATCATGGACGTGGGTTACATGGACGCGTACGGGCTGGAGGCTCTGGCGCGTCTCGTCTCCGCTCTTCTCCTTTTCCGTGACGAGGGGGAGAACGATAAGAACGAAGAATCGGCCCCAGGTTCATCCCATACGATTCAGGATCGCGTTTTATCCGCGATGCTTTTTCTCACATTCCTATCCTCCCTCGTTCTGCTCTATTTATTCCCCATTCCCGATTAAAAATAAGAAAAAAGAGCGACCAAGACGAGCACGCCAGAGTGCAAAACGATGGAACAAACGACGCTCGCAAGAGAAAAGCACAATCGAAGATTACAATCTGGGATTACTCCGATATATATCGAGTATTAATAACGAGATTTGACAAGCGCGAAACGCGACGCGACGTGGCGCGACACAACGACTCGGCCAGAACGATTTCTTAGATAGTTTCATCAGTAATCGGTATTTCTCGATTCGTTTGCCAAGCCGTCGAGTCGCCCGAGATATAATTTTATCGCGCGACACTTCCCTCGTCTCTTCCATCCAATTTAGTGTTCTTAGAGCGGCACGATATTTTTATAATTTTTCTCTCTTCTCTCTCTCTCTCTCTCTCTCTCTCTCTCTCTCTCTCTCTCTCTCTCTCTCTCTCTCTCTCTCTCTTCACGTCCTCTGATTTGCTTTACATCGGAGTGTGAAGAAAACGGGGTCGAGTGTCGCGCGGAATCATCACCTCCTTGGCTAATTGCGAGCTTATTTTAACCACGATACACAAGAAACGAGGAAAATTGTATCGAAGTTATTTATCGTTCGATTTTTCGAAGTGTCTCGTTCTTTCGATTCGATGTAATTTCTTAGCTTTTCTTTCTATTGTGATTTTTAATTCATTTCGTTAAATGAATCGCCATCGAATTCACTCGAGACACTCGAAACTTTTTAACGAAATATTCTCGACAAACGTTAGTTTAATCCAATGAGCTATTTCAAAAGAAAGCTTTGCTTGTACGTTCGATTTAATTTATATCGATTCTCAGCTCTAGCTTAAAATTAATTAGCTTAGGGTTGTTCCGTTTGTTTGCCTCCATCGTTGTGGCTTGAGGGAGACGCTTAAAAATTCCGACGAATTAGTATTCGATAGGCCCTTAAGTATTCGAAAGGCAGCTTGAATCATTACATTTAGTCCGCCTAGTTATAGAGAGACCGCTATGTAGTGCGTAGGTTAGTTAACCGTTTTTTGTTTTGGCATAAGGTGTTCGACAAGAACTCGAGCAAATTATATTTCGTTCTCGTTCGAGTTTTGGTCGTTAAATACGATTATTTCACGATGAAAGAAGGTATATTAAAAAAAAAAAATCAAAGAGCGCAATCAAAGTTGAAAAAACGCTCGCATATCAAATGGTATCGCCTGTATGTATGTACCTTGAACGAATGAATCGTTCGTTTTGATCGCTGGAATCGTTACGATCGGTGGGATCTATCGTCGAACAAGATCTATCGAGAAAATAGTATTTTGCTACGCGAAGGGATGATGGCCGAAATATGGTTAATTGGTTATTCAATAATATTTCGTTCGGGAAATTTCTCATTTTTCAATATCTTTCAATTCTGACTTTTGTTTCGAATATATATATAATATTTTTTTCGAATCTCTCGAAATCATTATTGTGGAATCAAGGAAAATAACGAAACGAAAACGAATAGAAACGAATTTTTTAACTGTGTATTCTTAACGGCATCATCCAGCACACGTAACGTGTCTTGAATCGCCAAGATGGCGAAGTTCAAAGAGATGAAAGGGGAAAGAACCTTCGTGTGTACCTCAAATGGTAGTATTTTTTTATTGTTCGACCAATATAAATCGCCTACGGCTCTTTCAGGATTGATGGGTCTGTGATAGGTAGCCTTCGAGTACTACAGGATTCGCAAACAAGGTGCTAGAAATCTCTTTATGTTCAAAGATTTCCTATTTTGGTACGTAGGTTTAACGCACAATTCGAACTCGAAAAGGAATTCTTATTTGACATTGTTTTATTGTTTACGTGTTTACGAGCAGATCCCTCCCCGAAGGGATCGCGGCAACGATAAATTTTGCTTTCTCTCGCTCTCGAGATGAAAACGAGACAAGAAAATTTTTTTCGTTGGAAGAGGAACGTCTAACGAGAGCGCTCACACCTCACCGACCAAGCAATTCGGTCGTAGCCTAAGATAATCTCCATATTTTCATATAATTCGCGTTTGACAAAGAAAGAAAGAAAGAACAAAAAGAAAAAATAAAAAAAAAAAAAATTCGTAGTAGACGTAAAATACGTATATCGTTTAGAATATACACGCGTCTAATTTATTCTACATATATTCGTACGATAAGAGTTATATTGTATATGATAAGGAATTTGAGGAGGAACGAATCGCTTAGGGTGCGATTAAAATTTGAGATTAAAATTTTCGAAAATCGTTCCCGTTAACAATTCTCGAGAGTTTTATTTTTAAATATATCGACATCCTCAGATCGAGTCTTCGAATCGCGAGAAATCTTTGCTTCCGGTTGTCACTCCACGGACACGCGTCAAGTTGAAAAACGAATTGTTTTACAGTAGTTTAGTGCCAAACGCGTCAGACAGTCGAACCGTGTAAGTACTTACAGACAATACGCATCGCGACTCTGTTTCTCCCAGATGCACAATTTCACATTGCTGCTAGCGTGTCGAACGAAACGATACGAGTGAACACGTGCTCCCACAACGTATTCTAAACGAAACAATTCTGGGAAATCGATCGAGAATGTACAAAGAAAGAAGACGAGAAACTAAATGGTTTCCATTACGGTCTAATACTTGATGATTTACTTGTAGAAAATTTTTTTTTATACGATTGACTCTTTTTAATAATACGAAAATATTCTGTATTTTGAATTAATAATGATCGCATAGATGCGCGTGTTTACAAGATAACAGTGACATGACGTAAAGAACGAATGCATATATTGCAACTATGTCAACGTACCATCAAATTCAAGGCGAGCTGCATCTTCCACAATCATTTATTCAGTTTCTTTTCGTTTCTATTCGCGCAGCTCGCATCGATCAGCGGCAGAAAGTTTATTTCTAGTCCTTTGTATATCGTTCTTCTTAGATATCTACTCCTATCTGGTATATTTTTATTTTTTAAAATATCTTGAAATATAGGTTCGATAGATTTTTAAACTTTTAAGTAAAATTAGGAAATTTTATTTACTTAATTTGTACAGATCTTAGAACAAGATCTAATTTATTTTTCTTATAAAAATTTTAATTTTTAACGTACGTTTTAAAGCAGCTAGATAGGATATTTTTAATCAAGAGGAACAATATTATTTCGTTGATATTTAAGTTTATCTTCAGTTCTAGTCAAGCTCGACTTGTTCTTTTTTTATTATAATCTTTGTTTTCATCTAAGTTATATACGTTTCTTCATTCACTGGTGACTTAACGCTTAACTCGTTACTTAATTTTATGTTTGTTCCTTTTATATGTATTCTTCCACATCTTTTCCGATCAATTTCGTCGTCATTCGTCGACTGTTTGGGCGTGTAAAATTCTCATTCCTCGAAAATAGAACGCGTTTAACAAAACTAATTCGTACTAAAACACATTATTTCCCACAACATCAGGTTCAATGACGACAATTGTGTATCAGTATTATTTCTTCGTGTTACAGATCGGACAAGACTTAATTGCATCGAATTAATCGCAACCATAAGACTGCTTATTTCATTTTAGTTTATCGTCTCTTCTGTGCCCTGCCGCAATGGTTTTCTTTTCTTTTCTTTACGATTAGTTTTCGCTTCCGTAAGAGGCTGCGTCCTTCTCTCTCTCTCTAATCGCGGAAAGATGAACATGACAGAAAAGAGGCGCGATAAGGAGACCGAACACGAGATCATTCCGTTGCATTTTAGCTTGTATAATTGTATAATTTTTGTAAAGAACAGAGAGAAAAGAGAGCGTATATATACATATTATAAAATAGAGTATATTATATTATATTATATTATATATATTATTATATTATATTATATTATATTATATTATATCATACTGTATTGTATGGACAACAGATATATGGTACGTTGATGCTACGTTTCTCTTTGGTTTTTTTGTTTTTTAAATTGTATACGTCGCAGACTGTGAGCTTAAAATCTTAATCGCTTTTTCTAAACTCGGTGCTTCGTTTTTTATATCTTGTTGTTTTTTTAAGCTTAAGCTTTCTTGTACAATTTTATCGGAAAGGGAATGATTTTTCCTCTCTATTGTTTAATTCTCGGAACGATCGCGCCCGTCCAACGATTCAACATCGTCCACGTACGATCTCTTCGTGATCGTTGAACGATCTACGATCGCTGAATGGAACGCGATCGTTCTTTCTGTATCTCTCTCTCTCTCTCTCTCTCTCTATTTTCTCTATGATCGAATCTGGATTCGCGACCACGTTCGCCGAATGATTTCACGGTGACTGTGATAACGGTGAACGTGGGCGGTGTATCTCTTGCTTCATTTATACACGCTATACGCACAAAGGGAACACGATTACACTGCCAGAGCGAGTCGATTCCGATTGCAATTCATTGATGGAAAAATAAGATAAAAATTTTCGTACACCACGTTTGATCCGAAAATCCTGATTTTAATTTCGTCCACATGGAGCAATTCTTTCGAGGAAAAATCTCTGAGGGGATGAAATGAAATCGTGGAGTTTCACCATGTTTTTTGGATAAATGCAACAATTTCATCTGCGAATATTTTTTATAATAATATACTTTCCGTATACTTAAGTATTTTAAAAATTTCATCTTTTCACCGTTAATTGAATTCATATAAAGTGTACGAAGATTTTTTTACATCATTGTACATCATCGGCTTCAATCCTTTACGCTGGACTTTGCTCGAATCTCCTAATTTTTACTTTGTATTG